TTCTTAAAAAACGAGAGCTACAAATTTTTTCTTTCCACAACAAATTTTAAAGCTAAAAGCTACAATTAATGCCGTTATAACATTTTCAATATCTCAATTCTATCGACTAGGTGTATGGTGTCAAGTTAGCACTACATACCATTTTTTCTTAAAAAACGAGAGCTACAAATTTTTTCTTTCCACAACAAATTTACAACAAAAACACTACAATTAATGCCGTAGTTAACTTTTCCAATTTCGAAAAGTGTAGTGCTAACTTGACACACGTCAAAATAACGTGTTATTTATTTCGCACTTGGGAACAAACAAAAATTCAAAAATCAGACTCAACTATAATAATAATAATAGATTGGCGCTTCTACATATCTTAGTGTTTGGCCGAGCTTCTCCTCCGACTTGTGGCGTGCGCGTTGATGTTGTCACACAAAGCGGAGGGACCTACTGTTTTACGCCGACTCCGAACGGCGATTGTATTTTTATGAGAAGCTGTTTTTCATGGCAGAAATACACTCGGAGGTTTGCCATTGCCTGCCGAGGGACGACCGCTGTTAAGAAAAAACCTTTTTCTATATTTTTTGGGATGTTGCTTTGACCAGGGCCTGAACCCAGGTGCTGATGTGTGAAAGCGCGCACTGCTTACTACTACACCACAGCGGCCGACTCAACTAATTTCTTGAAAGTTTTATTAGTTTTCATTAAAAAAAAAAAATTATAAATCAAATTTAGTGAAAAACTAAGGCTCCAGTGAATTGTGAACTCAAAATGTCAATTTTGAAGCACTGTGCGCTGGTACCGTCAATTCTCAGCGCCATAGCGCCCTGATCAAAGACGTTTTTTGGTCCGAATTTAGAGATTTTTATTTGGAGGGAATGTGGATTCAACAAGAAGAAGATACACGCCAATATTCTGAAATAAAATACTTCCTTATTTGTTTTGGGTTTTATTTAGTTAAAATCATCTGTTTCCAACTAAATACATTCAACTGTAGTAAGCATTATCGGGGCTTATCATCGCATGGATTACCAATTGATATATTCAAGTACGTATGTATGTATATATATATATACATAGCTTGGCAATAGTTCTACCCCGCAAACACATTCTGAGCGTTTAGAATATTTGAAATATGCCTTTAAAAACAAAAAATGTGTGACTGAGTCGTGTATGAGGCCAAGAAAGAGTCCAATATGACATATATTGTAGCTCATTTGATGTATGAATTTAAGCTCATATAAGTCGACCTTCAGAGGCATGAGCTCATGAGGCAGATGAGCTCATTATGAGCGAAAAGGCTCCGAAATAGGACATCTTAAAGTCTCATTTATGACTCCAAATGTTTGCTGGGTAATGACTAGTTTATGCTTTTTTTGTTACCGGCACAATGTTAGTTAACGGTAATAAATACGCACGTCTAAAAACACATATGTATGTACATATCTGTACTTATAAATGGCTAATAAATAATTTATGTCGATAATCGAAATGCCAATTGATAAACAATACTTATTATGTAAGTTGGGAATGAAATGGGGTTTTTTGAATGTCCAGTTAAGACATTGAACGGTTATTTAGCATGCTTTGTTTTATTAAAGAGCGCCCAAAAATTATTTTAATACCTAAAAGTTAATGTGAGTATTGAATAGAGAACTTTGTACTCTTAGTCAGAGATTATTAACGAGTAATATATTAATACAAGTGTGGGTGACCACTTAGATAAAAAGTTCATTTTATCTAAGCTATTTTAATTAAAAGATTGGATAGCTTCAATGCAAAATTTTTAAGAATGCTAGATTTCTTTTATGGGGATATTTAAATGAATTGTTAATAAGTGCGGCATGTGCTTAAGTAAGTAAACACACATGTATGTGTTTATATGTATACATACATATGTATGTATGTACTTTAGATCATACTACCCCAGTGCGAAAAGGTAATGCCGGGGAATGCAAAAAGTAATGGATAGCCGCTATAACCTACGCACGGAAAGATGCAAGAATTTCTCCACAGCGATCTCATACGAATGTAATGTGTCGCATGCCGCCATACGAAACTATAAATACAAACATATAATAAAAATAAAGTCCGTGCCGCAGGTTTTGAACCTGTCACCAACAACACGGCAGTCGTACACGCATCCATTCGGCTATAGCAGCTGTTGAGATAACGTGAAAAAAAACATACTTGAGTTAGTTATCAAACCTGTTGTTTTGTTTGTGGCTTCAAAACTACGC